GAAGATTGGAGAAACTTGATTTTTCGCCCGAAAACGAAAAAAAACGTAAGGGGTAACACTGTCGTTTTTTTTTCGGGTCGAAATTTTGAGTTTCGATATCTCAGCTCTGGAAGGGTCTAGAGCCTCCATTTTTGCGCTCAGGTCAAAGTCTCGCGGCCCTCTATCATAATCCAGAGTTTTGAGAAGATTGGAGAAACTTGATTTTTCGCCCGAAAACGAAAAAAAACGTAAGGGGTAACACTGTCGTTTTTTTTTCGGGTCGAAATTTTGAGTTTCGATATCTCAGCTCTGGAAGGGTCTAGAGCCTCCATTTTTGCGCTCAGGTCAAAGTCTCGCGGCCCTCTATCATAATCCAGAGTTTTGAGAAGATTGGAGAAACTTGATTTTTCGCCCGAAAACGAAAAAAAACGTAAGGGGTAACACTGTCGTTTTTTTTTCGGGTCGAAATTTTGAGTTTCGATATCTCAGCTCTGGAAGGGTCTAGAGCCTCCATTTTTGCGCTCAGGTCAAAGTCTCGCGGCCCTCTATCATAATCCAGAGTTTTGAGAAGATTGGAGAAACTTGATTTTTCGCCCGAAAACGAAAAAAAACGTAAGGGGTAACACTGTCGTTTTTTTTTCGGGTCGAAATTTTGAGTTTCGATATCTCAGCTCTGGAAGGGTCTAGAGCCTCCATTTTTGCGCTCAGGTCAAAGTCTCGCGGCCCTCTATCATAATCCAGAGTTTTGAGAAGATTGGAGAAACTTGATTTTTCGCCCGAAAACGAAAAAAAACGTAAGGGGTAACACTGTCGTTTTTTTTTCGGGTCGAAATTTTGAGTTTCGATATCTCAGCTCTGGAAGGGTCTAGAGCCTCCATTTTTGCGCTCAGGTCAAAGTCTCGCGGCCCTCTATCATAATCCAGAGTTTTGAGAAGATTGGAGAAACTTGATTTTTCGCCCGAAAACGAAAAAAAACGTAAGGGGTAACACTGTCGTTTTTTTTTCGGGTCGAAATTTTGAGTTTCGATATCTCAGCTCTGGAAGGGTCTAGAGCCTCCATTTTTGCGCTCAGGTCAAAGTCTCGCGGCCCTCTATCATAATCCAGAGTTTTGAGAAGATTGGAGAAACTTGATTTTTCGCCCGAAAACGAAAAAAAACGTAAGGGGTAACACTGTCGTTTTTTTTTCGGGTCGAAATTTTGAGTTTCGATATCTCAGCTCTGGAAGGGTCTAGAGCCTCCATTTTTGCGCTCAGGTCAAAGTCTCGCGGCCCTCTATCATAATCCAGAGTTTTGAGAAGATTGGAGAAACTTGATTTTTCGCCCGAAAACGAAAAAAAACGTAAGGGGTAACACTGTCGTTTTTTTTTCGGGTCGAAATTTTGAGTTTCGATATCTCAGCTCTGGAAGGGTCTAGAGCCTCCATTTTTGCGCTCAGGTCAAAGTCTCGCGGCCCTCTATCATAATCCAGAGTTTTGAGAAGATTGGAGAAACTTGATTTTTCGCCCGAAAACGAAAAAAAACGTAAGGGGTAACACTGTCGTTTTTTTTTCGGGTCGAAATTTTGAGTTTCGATATCTCAGCTCTGGAAGGGTCTAGAGCCTCCATTTTTGCGCTCAGGTCAAAGTCTCGCGGCCCTCTATCATAATCCAGAGTTTTGAGAAGATTGGAGAAACTTGATTTTTCGCCCGAAAACGAAAAAAAACGTAAGGGGTAACACTGTCGTTTTTTTTTCGGGTCGAAATTTTGAGTTTCGATATCTCAGCTCTGGAAGGGTCTAGAGCCTCCATTTTTGCGCTCAGGTCAAAGTCTCGCGGCCCTCTATCATAATCCAGAGTTTTGAGAAGATTGGAGAAACTTGATTTTTCGCCCGAAAACGAAAAAAAACGTAAGGGGTAACACTGTCGTTTTTTTTTCGGGTCGAAATTTTGAGTTTCGATATCTCAGCTCTGGAAGGGTCTAGAGCCTCCATTTTTGCGCTCAGGTCAAAGTCTCGCGGCCCTCTATCATAATCCAGAGTTTTGAGAAGATTGGAGAAACTTGATTTTTCGCCCGAAAACGAAAAAAAACGTAAGGGGTAACACTGTCGTTTTTTTTTCGGGTCGAAATTTTGAGTTTCGATATCTCAGCTCTGGAAGGGTCTAGAGCCTCCATTTTTGCGCTCAGGTCAAAGTCTCGCGGCCCTCTATCATAATCCAGAGTTTTGAGAAGATTGGAGAAACTTGATTTTTCGCCCGAAAACGAAAAAAAACGTAAGGGGTAACACTGTCGTTTTTTTTTCGGGTCGAAATTTTGAGTTTCGATATCTCAGCTCTGGAAGGGTCTAGAGCCTCCATTTTTGCGCTCAGGTCAAAGTCTCGCGGCCCTCTATCATAATCCAGAGTTTTGAGAAGATTGGAGAAACTTGATT